GTTTAAATCTGGATCTGAATTTGAGAGGGGGGGGGGGGGAGGAAAGAAATGGTAGAAATGCTGCTTTTGCAGCAGAATCGGCAGTTATTTAACCTTCTACCCCAGATTCTAAGAGTTTCAACACAGACCATGCAGAGAGCACCAAGGGGCTGGTGGCATGGGCAGAGCAAGACACACACATGCAAGAAAAGCAGAAAAGGGCACAGGGGTAGCTTCCTCACCCTCTTGGGATTAGTGTGATTTCCTTTCCTTCCCAAGTCTCTCTCACTCATAGGTGCAGACTATTTTTCTTGCCTGACTTATTTAGTCTCTCTGAGTCCAGAATCATTCGAGAGAGAACACTTGTTTCAAGATTATACACCCAGAGTTATTAGCCAACAACCAGAAATCTAAGGCTGTTCAGCATGGCCCATGGTTTAACAGCAGTTTTTCTCTGTAACCCATAGGGAGCAAGAAGGTCCAGGGCCCCAAGTGGCTCATGGCTACTATCTTTGTAGCCATTATCCCATGATTCTTTTTGTTTACTATTTCTTTTGCCCCATGTGGACTAGAGAAATGTGACTTCCCAGAAATCACAGCTAAAGAAGGGCAGCAGCAGCCTTAAGGTACCATGCAATAAATAAAATGGTAATGGAAGAAAGCTATGGACATAAGCATGAGGAATCCATCTGAGATGAGCAGCACAGAGGAAAAGACAGAAAAGATTTTTCAACCCATGACTCAAGAGTCCCCTTGAAAGATTAACGTACTTAGCTTCCTCCACTACCTCCACCTCGGCATGAGCTGTGATTGGTGCATTGGAGTGGTCTCCAGTGGGGTCATCGACATTCAGCTCTCCATTGGTTGAGCTAACCACCTGAAACAGAAAGACAGAGTGTGACAAGCACCGTGACAATAGGAGCCTCCTGCCAGTACCAGAAGAGGGTCACTAAGGGAGATCTGGTCTTTTGCTTAGGCACTAGCCAGGCAATATCTGAGGAATGTCTGTTTTCGTGGGTTAAGGAGCCAACTGTACTAATTTAGGGAAGGTTCCCAGATCCATATCATGTGAGAACAATAAATTCAATGATGTAATCATATAATGATAAAAATAACTTCCATACTGAGTGCCTACTCTGTTAGGTATTCTGCTACATTGTGTGTATAAATTTAATCATCACAAAAATTCTATGAAATAGGTCATACTACTCTCTTTTTACACATGAAAACACTAGGAAATGACTTAATCAAGGTATGGAGTTAGGGTCTGTGGACTTCCATGAGGGAGATCTGTCCTAAACATATAGATTTTTTTCATATTTAAATACACACGGTATTTATTAAGTTAAAAATAAATGTACAGCTAACTTCTAAAGGTAAAATCACTTTGCTCCCTCGAATATGGGTAAATTCTATTCCTCTCAGTTAAAAAATATTCTCCAAAGGAAGCCAATAATTGGCACCAGAAACTGTAAACAGTCACACTTTCCTTCAGAAATTTCTTCATGACTTTGATTATTGGTTTGAAGTTACTCAAATAACAAGACTGCCATATCTTCTCTGGTGAGAGGGAAGACAGTAAGGACACACTTGTCTCTTGGAAAACCAGTCTTATTTCAATGACTTTATTGCAGGTTTACTGTCATCCCACTTCTCACTGATGGTCCCCGAACTGTAAGTGAAGGCTCTCACTCCTGTCATCTGGTTAATGTGGACCCGATCAGGCTTCTCTTGCTTGTGCAGCTGCTTCTGCCACCTGGTCTCATTTCCAGCACATGATTCCTGTTTATGTGGGTGGTGGGAAGTGGGAAAAGGGACCCCGCTGGACAAACCACTCTGCTGTTAAAGACCTTGGCTGAAACATGGGAAAGAACCACAAAATAGGATAAACGGTTTGGATATCATATGCCCCTTGGGTAAGTAACTTCAACTATTTGAGACTGTTTCTTACAGGCTGATGTGAGAATTATACAAGAAAATGTATGAGACAGTGTCCAATACAATACCTGGTATATAGTAATGGAGGCAGCAGAACACAGTAGACAAGAACTGGGCTCTAGAGTTAGTCAGCCCTAGGTTTGAACCCCAGCTCCACCACTTACTTGTTGTGGGTCCTTGGACAAGATCCTCAATCTGTGTGTGCCTGAACTTTTGTAAAATGGAGAAACAATGCTGCTTACCTAATGAGGTTATTGTGCACACAATCCACAGAAAGTGCTGAGACCAGTGCCACGGTATACGGTAATGGCTCAATAAATTTTTTTGTTTGTTTGTTTTGTTTATTCCTTTTTGTGACCAATAAGGGGATTGCAACCCTTGGCTTGGTGCCGTCCGCACCACGCTCAGCCAGCGAGCGCACAGGCCATCCCTATATGGGATCCGAACCCGGCAGGAGCGCCGCTGTGCTCCCAGAGCCGCACTCTCCCGAGTGAGCCACGGGGTTGGCCCTCAATAAATGTTTATCTTACTGTTATTCTCCCTCTATAAATGTTTAGTCTTATCTGCCTCTAGCTCTGGGGTCTTTACTAGGAGTTAATCTGTAAAAATTTCTCGAATAGCCATAATGAGGCAGGTGGGAGGAAATGTTTAGTAAAAGCAGCCTTTGGGGCAGACAAGATGAATACTACTTAATAGCAATCGATATCCACCATTATTTCTAAGGCAGAAATAATTAGTGTTCTTATTAATAACACATGCTTTATTTTTTTTTTTTCCTTTTTGTCTTTTTCCGTGTCCGGCAACGGATCGCAATCCTCAGTGTTGGATGAATACTACTTAATAGCAATCGATATCCACCATTATTTCTAAGGCAGAAATAATTAGTGTTCTTATTAATAACACATGCTTTATTTTTTTTTTCCTTTTTGTCTTTTTCCGTGTCCGGCAACGGATTGCAATCCTCAGTGTTGCCCCCGTACCGGACCGGGACCGGCAACGGGATCACAACCCTCGGTGTTGCTCCCACGCCTCGCTCGGCCAGTGAGCGGGAACCGGTCTGTATGTGGGATCCGAACCCTCGGCGGGAGCGCCACCACACTCCCAAGCGGTGCACTATATCAGTGCGCCACCAGGTTGGCCCATAACACATGCTTTAAAAAAATCAAAACAATATAGTTAGTGAAAAAAACCTACAACATTAAGTTTGGACTTGCCCAACAGAGACCCAAATTTCTGCTAGTGATCAAATTTAGCATCTCTGATTAATGGAAAAACTTGACCTTATTTATCTCCTTAATTGCTATACAAGATAGTATTCTTGCCAAAAAAAAAAAAAAAGCTTTATCTAAATCTAACCATGATGAAAAAAATCAGACAAATCAACATGTGGAATATTCTACAGGACAACTAGCCTGGATTCTTCAAAAAGGACTATGTCTTAAAAACCTTTTTTTTTTTTTTTTTAAACAACGGATAATTGTTATAGGTTAAAAGGGATAAAAAGAGACTAAAAGATTGAAAGAGAATGAAGAGGCATAACAACCAATACAATACAGGAACCTTGATAAAACCTGAACACTATAAAATTAAATATGGGGACAACTGGAACTAGGGGAAATGTGATATGGACTGTATATTAGAAAAATTTGGAATTATTAATTTTCATAGATACGACAATGGTGTTATTAGTTACATGAGAGATTGTCTTTGTTCTTAGGAGATGTAGGCTGAAGTATTTGGGGTAAGGCACAATAATGTCTGCAACTTACTTTTAAATGGTTTGGCAAACATACACACACAGACACACACACTCTCTCTCTTACACAGACACACAGAATTAAAGCAAAATATGGCAAAAATCTTAAACATCTGTTTATCTAGGTTAGGGATACACAGGGATTCATTACATCTCCTTCCCAGCTTTTCTACAGATTTGAAAATTACAAAATAAAAAGTCGAGGGAAAAAAAAGCAAAAACAGAAAGTTGAGGAGAGATAGTTTACAAATTGGAGAACCCCAGTTTCTCACTCTAATGCTATCTTGTTAATTTCCTCAGTCCTATATTTGCTTCTTGTGGGCACCGTCTGGCTGCACACAAGTGATAACACTGGTAAGTTCTTTCTGTGAGCACAGGGGTTGTAGTAGAATAATAGTAGTTTCTTAATGAATAATTTAGGAACTAGAAAAGAAGTTAAATAAAATGTCTTGGCTTCTAATGAATAAAGCAGTAGTAAGCATTACCACTGACCTGGTGATTTTGGGTCATTGTGCCTGTTCACAGCATTTCACATGTCTCATGCTTTCTAATTTCTCATCGTTATGAATTGCTACTCGGCCCACAAGCAATGCCCTTCGGCAATCTAGGGAAGAAGAGGTTATCCCCACTTTACCGACTAGATATCTTGTATGTATCAAGGAACAACTGGTCTCAAATGAGTCAGACACAAATGGGAACCTCACCACCAGTTCTCTACCCTGAAACTTACCCACACCTCAAACATGCCAGGGAATAAATGGTTCCAAATTTGGGCCTTTACAACATCCACTTAATTGCTTCAGGTTGGAGGTACAGTTTGTCAAACCCCTGAACCGCTACCTGGATGTAAAATGGAACAGATACTAGTTGTAAGTGACAGAAGTGCTGGATTCCAGGCCTAGCTCCACCACTCACATCCTCTGTGGACCCTGTTTTCTAATTCTTTAAGAAAGGGCCAGGGCCGGCCCGGTGGCGCACTGCTATAGTGCGCCGCTTGGGAAGTGCGGTGGCGCTCCCGCCGAGGGTTCGGATCCCACATACAGACCAGTTCCCGCTCACTGGCTGAGCGAGGCGCGGGAGCATCACCAAGGGCTGCGATCCCGTTGCCGGTCCCGGT